AGTTGAAAGTGACAGTCTTGTTACATCCAGGCTCCATGTTTTATCATATCTGAGCAAAGATTTGAGCAAAAAGAAGCATATCGTCATCTCCCATATCATTTATATGCTTTTTAATATGCAAATGTGGGGAAAGACCTAAATTGACAACCTGTTTTTTTAAGCTTGACATTGCTGAAGACCATTTTATTCACATGTGTTATGCTATTTGAAACTTATATTTCCATTTAAAGTACATTTATAACATGTAAAAGGTTTTTTTATAACTTAGCAACTTCAGAAAATTGTGGTAAGTGAAAAATATTACATTGCATATAAGGCCTCACTTCATTTGAAAACCTCTATTTTTTGGCACAGGCCCATATGATATTTACTTCTGGCCATTTTTTATAAGTCTGAAACATGAAGTATGCTATCTGTTGCTTTTAATAGGTGATAACTTATACATAGAGACATTAAAAAGTGTAAGTTTTGGTATATTTTGGTTTTTAGAAGCCCAAATTTGATAGTTGGAATTATTCTAATTCAACGCCACAATTCAGCACCCAAAGTTCAGATATAAAAAATGCCACAATTTTTATAATTGGTATCATATGGCTTTGAAACTTTGTAAACTGTTTCATAATATACTAAGCTTAAATCATACCAAGTTTTATTAGAATTGGTCAAGGTTTAGACCCCTAATAGGCCAAAGACCACAATTAATGATCCCGCTTTTCGTTGTCCACGAATATAGTTCCTTTTAATTAGAGTGTATTTTTTCTTAATTTTTTTTCTTTCCCTTCCTCACTCATTTCTTAGATTTTTTTGGATGGAAATGAAAGAAGAGAGGTGAAATAAACTTTTGGATGTTGTATTTTAACTGATTTTGATATGGAAAGAGTAATTAGGCCAGGTGCAAAAAGGTGATATTTACAGTTTTCGGAACATCTCTTGACTTGTCCATAGGGGTATGGATGTGTATTGGCTAAATTTGTAAGATGCTGGGGAGCGATATTTCTGAATGTTTGATATATGTTTGGACTAGTACTGTACTTTACACACACAAAATATTTGACAAAAAGAACCGGAGCATTTTTTTTAATGAAACAAAACGTTATAAAGAACTAATAGAGAATTTAATTGTGGTCTGTGGCCATTTGACTGATCGGACGGATAGGACGGATAGGACCGATCGACCTTTCTGACGGATTGAACTCAACTACGTCACATGATAAACTAATACAAATTACGAAATCTTAGTTTCGTTTCATTTAATTAAAATGGCGACATGGAAAATACGAAATATTCAAGTATAAATGATCAACATCTTTTTTTATTAATTATTTAGCACAGTTTTAAGAATTTAAAAAGAAAAGAAAGATGCACATAAAACTAAATTTAAATATTACTATTAAAGAATGGCCATTTTTGTTTTAATTTAAGTAATATTTTTTCAAACCCAAACATTTCTAAAACGGTGTTTATCGCGATTTTCAGTGATTTTATTATTTTCCGAAAATGCTCTTGGAAATAAAATGAAATGATCATTTACTGCAAATTTCGATGTATTATTTTTAAATATTTTTAAGTATTTTATCCTTATAATCTTAGAATTCTTTAAACAAACTTATCTCGAGGCCATTAAAATAACAAATCACAAATAGGAAATAAAAATGCTGCAAATTCTCTTAAAAATAAAAAAAAAATATTGGTAATTTTAAACAACGAGAACAACATTATAGTATATTTTTTCTGATAGTCTTTCAAATTAATAAAAAATAATCAATCCTAAGCTATAAAAAGTACAAAAATCCAATGACGGTCAATAATTTCCATTCACACAAAGGAATTATTGCATTCTATTTCAACAAAAACAAAAGTTTCTGCATATTTATCCTTCTTTATTCACATTTTATCAAAAAATACTTATCTAAAGGCATTTATAATTACTGATAGGAATTGCATTGCACTATTTCTGATATAAAAGAAGAAATATTTGTATTTTTATGCAATGCGAATATTGAATTTAGTATCTGATCCCTTAAATTCAACATATTTTATGAAATGCAACCAATTCTGATGTACAAAAAGTACTGAAATCAAATGGTGATTCATTATTTCTATCAAAATGAAGATATTATTGCATTCATTTTCAACACCAACAAAAGTTTAAGCCTTATTCTACTTACAATATTAAAATTCTTATAAAAAAAATAATCTTGAAGCCTTTGAAATAACTGGTTACAAATAACATTGCATTATTTTTTAACAAAACAAGAGAAATTGGTAATTTAAAATAATGCGAACAACATTTATAATGACTGAAAGCAATTGACGTTGCATTATTTCTGATATAAAAGAAGAAATATTTGTATTTTTAAGCAATGCGAACATTACATTTAGAATCTTTTCCCTTAAATTCAACATATTTTATGAAATACAACAAATCCTGAACCATAAAAAGTACAAAAAGCCATAGGCGTTCAATAATTTCCATTAAAAAAGAGAAATCATTGAATTCTTATTTAAAAAAACAAAAGTTTATGTATATTTATCCTTAAATTATTCATATCTTATATAAAAGTACTTATTTGAATGCATTACTTATGACTGATTGCAATTGACGTTGAATTATTTCTGATATAAAAGAAGAAATATTTTCATTTTTAAGCAATGCGAACACAAATCTAGTATTTTTTCCCTGGAATTCAGCATATTTTATGAAAATAAACCGATCCTGATGTACAAAAAGAACCAAAATCAAATGACGGTTCATAATTTCTATCAAAATAAAGAAATTATTGCATTCTTATCTAACAAAAACAAAAGTTTATGCATATTTATCCTTCAATGATTCACATTTTATACAAAATTACTTATTTAAATGCATTTATAATGACTGATTGCAATTGAAGTAGCATTATTTCTGATATAAAAGAAGAAATATTTGCATATTTAAGCATTGCGAACAAAAATTTAGTATCTTTTCCCTGAAAATCCGCATATTTTATGAAAAACAACCAATCCTAATGTACAAAATGTACAGAAATCAAATGACGGTTCATAATTTCTATTTATATAAAGAAATTATTGCATTCGTATTCAACACAAAACAAAAGTTTAAGTATTATTCTCCTTACATTATCAAAATTCTTACAAAAAAAAATCTTATTGGAGGACTTTGAAATAACAAGTTACAAATAACATTGCATTATTTTTTATCAAAAGAAGAAAAATTGGTAATTTTAATCAATGCGAACAACATTTTAGTATATTTTCTCAGATATTATTTTGATTTTATACAAAACAACCAATCCTAAACCATAAAAAGTACAAAAAGCCATAGGCAGTCAATAATTTAAAATGAAATAGAGGAATTTTGAATATTTATCAAACAGAAACAAAAGTTTCTGTATATTTATCAGTAAATTATTTATATCTTATACAAAAGTACTAATCTGAATGCATTAATTATGACTGATTGCAATTGACGTTGAATTATTTCTGATACAAAAGAAGACATATTTACATTTTCAAGCAACATGAACAAAAATTTAGTATCTTTTCCCTGAAATTCAGCATATTTTATGAAAGATAAACAATCCTGATGTACAAAAAGAACCAAAATCAAATGACGGTTTCATAATTTCTATCAAAATAAAGAAATTATTGCATTCTTATCTAACTAAAACAAAAGTTTATGTATATATATCCTTAAATTATTCATATCTTATACAAAAATACTTTTCTGAAAGCATTTACTATGACTGATTGCAATTGAAGTTGCATTATTTCTGATATAAAAGAAGAAATATTTGCATATTTAAGCAATGCGAACAAAAATTTAGTATCTTTTCGCTGATATTCAGCATATTTTATGAAAAACAACCAATCCTGATGTACAAAATGTACCAAAATCAAATGACGGTTCATAATTTCTATCAATATAAAGAAATTTATTGCATTCGTATTCAACACAAAACAAAAGTTTAAGTATTATTCTCCTTACATTATCAAAATTCGTACAAAAAAAATCTTATTGGAGGACTTTAAAATAACATGTTACAAATAACATTGCATTATTTTTTATCAAAAGAAGAAAAATTGGTAATTTTAATCAATGGGAACAACATTTTAGTATATTTTCTCAGATATTATTTTGATTTTATAAAAAACAACCAATCCTGAACCATAAAAAGTACAAAAAGCCATAGGAAGTCAATAATTTCCATTAAAATAGAGAAATTGTGGAATTCTTATTTAACAAAAACAAAAGTTTATGTATATATATCCTTAAATTATTCATATCTTATACAAAAATACTTTTCTGAAAGCATTTACTATGACTGATTGCAATTGAAGTTGCATTATTTCTGATATAAAAGAAGAAATATTTGCATATTTAAGCAATGCGAACAAAAATTTAGTATCTTTTCGCTGATATTCAGCATATTTTATGAAAAACAACCAATCCTGATGTACAAAATGTACCAAAATCAAATGACGGTTCATAATTTCTATCAATATAAAGAAATTTATTGCATTCGTATTCAACACAAAACAAAAGTTTAAGTATTATTCTCCTTACATTATCAAAATTCGTACAAAAAAAATCTTATTGGAGGACTTTAAAATAACATGTTACAAATAACATTGCATTATTTTTTATCAAAAGAAGAAAAATCGGTAATTTTAATCAATGGGAACAACATTTTAGTATATTTTCTCAGATATTATTTTGATTCTATAAAAAACAACCAATCCTGAACCATAAAAAGTACAAAAAGTCATAGGAAGTCAATAATTTCCATTAAAATAGAGAAATTATGGAATTCTTATTTAACAAAAACAAAAGTTTATGTATATTTATCCTTTAATTATTCATATCTTATACAAAAATACTTTTCTGAATGCATTAACTATGACTGATTGCAATTGTATATGCCATATATTGAAAAATACACAATCTATTTTTATGAACATTTAGATAATCATTGTTTATATTATTTTTTTACATTTAGGATAATGCATAGTGGTAAATACAATCCTCCAAGTTCTGCAACAGGGGGACCAACATCAAAGGTAAATACATTTTTACTACAATTAATCTAAAGAATAAAAAATTTTAAAATCGAAAATGAAGTTAGTTGATTTATTAGCCACATTTGATGGGAACATAAATTTTCGTTTTTGTTTTGAAATATAATGGGAATGCATAGCATTGTTACAGCACGCTAACTTGTATCTTAACTATATAGATTGGTGTAAACTCGTAGCATTTGCAAAACAGTAGAATATACTACCAGACTCAAGCTGGTAGCCACTTTTAGCAGCCAATCAAGATAGCAGCCATTTTTTTCCAGCAGCCAATTTTCATGATATGTCTAAAAACCAAAAAACTATATAAGACTCAAACGTTCCAAAAATCTCAACATCTGAGTTTAATATAATTTAACAGCGGAATTCGACAATTTCACGGCTTGTGGTGATTCTTAAAAGATTTCAGTCCGTTTTATGTACCAATAATGATAGCAGCCACTTTTTTAGGAGGACACTGTTTGTTTAATAAAAAATTGTACAATTTAAAATCATTTTTTTCGTTCTTTTTCTCGCTCTTTGATTCCTTATGATTAAGAGCTACAGAAACAATGTAGGAATAAAAATAAAAGAAATCAAAGAACAACTAATATTGTAAATAATGGATTTAATTAAGATATGATAATTCGTGATATTTATATATATATTATAAGAAATTTGTTTTGCATGCACACGTATAAAAATTGCGGTTTTTATCCAACGCAATCATAGGTTTGAACGTTGTTTTCAATTTAGACATGTTTATATTTTTTTCGTTTGGGCTTGTATTATATTTGCCTTCGGGTTTATATGTTCCGTTCATCCTATTTTGACTCCTCAAAATTCAAGAGTCTATTCTAAATTGAGGTAAATTGTATGGCTTTCCAAATACCGTTTCCATTCCTAACATCACTGAAGAGACATTAATTGTCGAAATCCGGATATGGTGTACAAAAACCTTTGCACCTTTTGTTTGTGGTATACCATCTTTTCTGCAAGTTTATAGTTTTCTGTTTAGTATTAAATTTATAATTAAGATCCATTTATTACATCGGTGATCCGTCTATTTGGCAATCGCCAATGGCAGTCAGCAGGGGTTAAGAACATTTGTTGTTCGACCTGTTAGACAAATGCGTTTTGTTAAAATATACTTTTTTACTTTTTTGGTCTTTTGGAAAATGTTGTTTGTGCTGTATTTAGACCCCTCTAACAAGAAATTTGTTTTGCATGCACACATATAAAAATTGCGGTTTTTATATATATATTAACAAGTCTTAATTGAAAACAACGTTCAAATCTATGATTGCGTTGGATAATAACCGCAATTTTTATACGTGTGCATGTAAAACAAATTTCTTGGTAGAGGGGTCTTAATACAGCACAAACAACATTTTCCAAAAGACCAAAAAGCGAAAAGTATATTTAAACAAAACGCATTTGACTAACAGGTCGAACAACTGATGTTCTTAAACCCTGCTGACTGCCATTGGCGATTGCCAAATAAACGGATCACAAGATGTAACAAAATAGATCCTATTATTAATTTATACCAAACAGAAAACAATAAACTTGCGGAAAAGATGGTATACCGCAAACATGAGGTGCAAAAATTTGTACACCATATCCGGATTTCGACAATTAATGTCTTTTCAGTGATGTTAGGAATCGAAACGGTATTTGGAAGGCCATATAATTTACCTCAATTTAGGATAGACTCTTGAATTTTGAAAGAGTCAAAATATAATGAACGGATCATATAAACCCGAAGGCAAATATAATATAAGCCCAAACAAAAAAATATAAACAAGTCTAAATTGAAAACAACGTTCAAACCTTTGATTGCGTTGGATAAAAACCGCAATTTTTATACGTGTGCATTCAAAACAATTTCTTGGTAGAGGGGTCTAAATACAGCACAAACAACATTTTCCAAAAGACCAAATGAGTGAAAAAGCATATTTTAACAAAACGCGTTTGACTAGCAGGTCGAACAACTGATGTTCTTAAACCCTGCTGACTGCCATTGGCGATTATATATATGAAAACAATTCGATATACATGTAATGTTGATCTTTTTTTGAATGTGAACAAGTACTTTCTATAAAAATCCTACGTGGACTATTTTGTACGGCATGCGAAATTACTAATTCATAAATCTAAAACTGAAATTGTCCTTATCAAATGTGCCAGTACAAAAGATTGACATATAACTAAAATTGTGGTGGCCAGACGGACGAATAGTCTGGGTTAATACCTTTGACCTTAGGTCTGGTTCGGAACTTTGCCGTAGGGATATGCCGAGGAGTGCCGAATGTGTTACTTAAATGGAAAGTACGTTAAGGGGCAATTGTGAACCTCTGTGGTGGCCAGACGGGCCTGGATCCCAGAAAAATATTTAAGTGGCGAATAGCCTGGGTCAATACCTTTGAAATGAGCTAGATCTGGTTCGGAACTTTGCCGTAGGGATATGCCGAGGAGTGTCCAATGTGTGGTGTGTATGGAAAATACGTTATGGGGCAACTTTGAACACCTGTGGTGCCCAGACGGGCCCGGATCCCAGAAAAATATTTAAGTGGCGAATAGCCTAGGTCAATACCTTTGAAATGAGCTAGGTCTGGTTCGGAACTTTGCCGTAGGGATATGCCGAGGAGTACCGAATGTGTAGTTGGTAAGGAAAGTACGTTTAGGGGTAACTTTATACCCCTCAAAAACAAGAAATGTATCATTGTCGAAGTTGCCTTCCAAGCGGTCTTCACATCATCATCACGACTTTCTCAAAAGGTATGGACAGATAAAGGTACTGAATTTTACAACATGTTAAGGAATTATTTCAAAAGCACAACATTGAACTGTACTCTCCCGAGAATGAAGAAAAATCAAGTGTCGTTTAACGTTGGAACCTTATCATGAAAGAGTAAATGTTTAAATACTTTTCGGCGAATTCTACGCGCACTTACATCAATATGTTGAATGATCTCGTTCATCAGTACAACACGTCCAAGCATAGATCCATTAAGATGACTCCTATCGCTAAAAAAGAACACGAAAACAAAGTGTACTGGAACTTGTTTGGTAACCTTTTTCCATTTAAACAGAGTAAATTTAAAGTAGGGGATACAGTTCTAATTACTACAAAGAAAAGTGTGTTTGATAAAGGATACACCCTTTGGTGGACCGAAAAAATCTTTACGGTGTCCCACGTGTTAATCACTTAACCCCAAAAGTATCGTATCAAGGATTGTAATGACGAGGAAGTACAAGGTTCCTTTTATGAACCTGAACTTCAAAAGACGGATCAATATTTGTATCGCATCGAAAAAGGGCTTGCGAAAACGAACCAAGGGTGGTGTGAAAGAGGTCTTTGTTCAATGGAATGGGTACCGTAAGTCCTTTAATTCTTGGATCAAACAATCAGACATGCAGTAACAACCTTTTAGCAAGCTTTATAGACAATTTGCCCAAGACTATAAAGGTTACTTTCCCTATATGATTTATGGGGGTGAAGGCTTAAACATCTGAGCTATGTCTTTACCAGATACTGAACCACTAACGGTTTTTGATCTCCCAACAGCATGTTCCACAAGTGCATCGATTTTTTGATGTGAGGAGTTTTTAATCTTATTTATTTTTCCTCGAGTTATTATTAGAGAGTGGTCTTAAACTCATCTACTTTTTTCTCGAGTTCTTTAATTGTTGCATCATATCCTTTCTCTAGTCGTTTTATACCCGTCTTCATCTGGTTACACTCAGATTGTAATTGTAATTCTAACTGTCTCGTATTGTCTTTCACTTGCTGAATGACCCATCGTTTTGTTGCAGCATCCGTACCATGACTCGGAGATTTTAGATTAGTGATACGATAGTCGTTCATGTTCAAGTCTTCAAGCAATTGACTCCTATTTGTTTCTCTCTTTCCATAAAATCCAAATTTGTCTGCCATTTATTTATAGCATCCAATGGAAAACACAACTTCATCAAAAGGTTGACCTTCCGACAACAATTTCAACACATACAAACAAAAGTGTCCACAGACCACTGTTCCTCTTATCTGAAGTTCATCGGTGTTGTAGTCAATGTTAGGTTTTTAGTAATTTACCATTTCGTCGGAGGGTGGAAGTCCGTAAGAATCAAAATACACTTTGCTAGTTGTTGTCTTATACCAACACGTCCAATGGGTTCCAGGTCCCATAACGGTATCATTGTTTAAAATACCACACTCTTCATGGTGTGGTTTGGAAGGTAGGGTATCCCGCATTAATACACCTCTAAAATGCATATGAGGTATCTTAAGAGTTTTAACTGCTTTCTCCAACTCTCCGTTTGATAGGGGCTTGTTGGGATGTAGAATGTTGTGTATTCGTATCATTTATTTTACTCTCCGTTAAATAGGGGCTTGTTGGGAAGTAGAATGTTGTGTACTCGTATCATTTATTATAAGTTTTCTAGCCTCCAAACGGGGTCGAAGTTGCAATCGTCTTTCAATAACATCCATCTTCTGCTTACATATGATAAATTGTTGTTGTTCTTTATATAATAAATTTTTACGAGGTTTGATTAATCCAGGCATTGTTACTTCTACCACCACACGTCTTTAAGATAAGTGTTCAATTTTGTAATGTCCATGTGCCAGGGTACTGATTCCATCTTGTAAAATGAAACGTTTGTCATCTTGTGCTGCCAGGGCTACATTGTTAATTTCTTCAGTCACCACGTTGTGAAGGTAACTGCGAATGACATTCTTTTTTCTATGACAACTTTGCTAGGTCATTGAACACGTCTTGTAATCATTAATTGTAATGTTCTGTCGAATGACTTGTATCTTCATTCCTTTAGCTTTCATGGTGTGTTGACCATCATTCATTCGACATGAGTACATCTTGCACGAAGCCCTACAAACTCAGCCATCATTTGACCGCCACATTCATCCTTTAACATACCAATCACTTTTTTGTTGACGTTGGTTGGAATTCCAAACGGGTTGTCCGTACAGTAGTTTGATGTATCAA